AGTTTACCAAAGTCAACCCGTCTGTTCATTGTTATATATATATGCTTTAGACATGTTTTTATAAATATATTGCACAAAAGAGGATTATATACACAAACACTGTAAGTCATTATGCCCTTAAGTCTTAAACTTTACTTTACACTGTCTTCCAAATATACCATTTTAACCGTTACTTATGACTTATTCCGTCTGCAATCATGACATTTCATTGCTGGCAGCATTTTTTGACTGAGATATTACTCAATGAAGCCTTCACATTTTCATGCAGCAGATTATACAAAGAGGAATTAGAAATTTTGGATAGTGTTGTGTTGTGTGTGTGGTTTTTTTCTTCAAAGGTAAATATGTCTCTTGTCCGTGAGAATTTTTCCATTTACCCTTTTCAGGCGGATGAATGATAAAGAAAAGCTAGTTTCAGAAAAATTCGGAGTACTGTACTATATGATTGTCATTCACTATTTCCAGTTATCTTTGTCATACAGTGTATACAAACTCTACTTGTGACTCACTGAATCATGATGTCAGTTAGCAATGATTTTTGTTTGATTAAAATGACATGTTCTAAAACATGATGACCTTTTTAAAAAACACTTATTAACTATTGAATAACAAGAAAAAAGCTTTGCATAAAATATAATTTACCTAAACGTATAAATTAATTTCTTTCAAATAAAAAAATGTGTAAAATGAAACTTATTTATAATACTACTAACCTAAGTAACTTTAGTTTTGTAAATATGAGTTAACTTGATCACATTGTGCTCTAATTACTATTTACAATTTTATAATTTATGCATTTTCACGTGATTCATTAATAGAAGTTTAGAAAAATTTGAGATTGTATATGTACGATTGAATTTTTAATAATTTTTTTCTTAATAAGAATTGTTTTCTTTTTGGTTATTTTTATTTTATAATATTATATTATATTCATTAATTTAAATATATATTATTTTAAAAATTAAATATGTTTTTAATCTTTAAGAAAGAGAAAGAGAGAGAACGAAAGAAAGAGAGAATTTGGAGTTGGAGATGGAATGAAATTTTGATCTTTTATAAGTATTTATAGTGTATTAATTCAATAAAAAAGATAAAAAAGTATTTTAAGTTCTTATTATACAAATTTTAATAAAATTATGTGTGTTTTATTAAATTTGTATTTATTTTAAATTATCTATAATTTTATTTATTTATATTTAATTTATCTTAAATTTTTTATTTTTTTATATTTATATGATTTATTTTATTCTTATTTATTTATATTAATTTCCTATACACACTAGTCTTATTTATTTATCCCTAAATATACATTAGTTTTAATTATTTTTTTGATTTAATTTATCTCTGTTATTATTTATTTCATTTGATTAGTTTTTTTAATTACATATTTATTTATTTCATTTCATTCATTTCTAATTATGTACTGATTTATTTATTTATTATTTATAATTATGTCATTTGATTTATTACCATCTATACACATTAGTCTGATTTATTTGTTCATTTTATTTATCTCTAACTATACTATAGTTCTTTGTATTAATTTATATTTTTTTATGAAATTAAATTCATATCTAATTATTTATTTAAAGTTATTTTTTTAATCTTTATTTCGTTTTATTTTAAAATATCATTTTTTAAATTAAAAGAATATATAAAATAATAAAATTAAGATTAAGTAATATGTTTTATCCAGTGAAAAAAGTTACCTAGAAGCTGTATTATTATTTTTTAAAACTATTTATACTAGTTTAAATAATGTAAAAATTATTCATAAAAAATATAATATATCTTGATAATCAACATTTTAACATTTTATGATCATTTAAAATGTACATGTGCATCCTAAATAAAGACATTAGACCCACGAATGTGGATAACAATGTTGTAACCTTTTGATGCAATTGGTTGTTTTGTTTATTGGACTTTTGCAGTTTCAATTGAATAATATTATTTACATGTCTTAGTTCTTCCTTAGAAGGTTGTCGATTAAAACACATGAACATGATGTTTTTGAGAAAATAGATGCGTTTCCTTAAAAAAGACAAACACAAAAAAACATTAAGGATGCTAGCACCTACATGAAAACGATTTCAAACCATGATATGCGTACATGCACCTTCATAATGGTGCTATGATCATGCTAATTAAATTATTAATAATGAGTGGTCATTATTGAGTTAAATTTTAAATACTTTATCTTCACTTATATTCGTAATTTTGTATATTGATGGTGATGTTTTTGTGGGAATTATATTTAGGTTGTTTATGTAATTATCATTGTTTAGTTTATTTTGTTTTTCAAAATAATTTTTACAATATTATAAATAAAGAAAATCAATGTCATCCGAATAAAAGAATGTTAAATTTTTTTATTTACTCATGTATCGGTTGCTGTATATTGTTTTATTAAAATAATATATGTGAAAAGTATTTACTCTTGTGATCTTATTTTTATTAAGTGATCTGATTAAGGTATTAAAAATCATGTTTATCAAAGTCTAGTAAAATAAATAAGTATGATGATAATGTTGAATGAGCCTTATGAAAAATAACAAAGTATTTTATAAAATAGAATCTATGCGACCCAAGTAATAATATGTGCAATGTCATTGTTACACCAAAGAAAGATACTTAATCTTGTTCCTATGTACTGTTTTTGTGAAATTAAGTAAGTGTTGAATGAGAGATACTTAATTTATAAAAAGTTCCGACATGTTATCTGCTATTTTCTCGGGACATAAAATTTTAAGAAGACCTTTTTTCCACCACAAGGTGGTGAGTGAATTATATATATAATGGACCACTTTCTTTGAGGAAGGTTTAAAAAAATAATGAGGTGCATTATATCAGCGAGGCTTTTGGTCATGCCGCCATTACATATATTCTGTTCTGTAATAGAAAAAAAGCACAAGATGACCTTGCTGACTTATGTAAATCAATAGATAAAATTTCTTTACTTTAACTGTTAACTGCTATAACGGATTCCAAATGATTGTTCTTTTGAAATTTCAAAACAAAAAAAAAAAATTGCTCCAATTTACTTCCATTGGGGTAAATGCACCGACTGCAACCCAAAGTAAAGATAAACATCAAGCTTTATACTGTAAATTATAATGTTATACATATTCATCTCAAAATTCGTTTATATAGGTATATACTCTAGACTCATAAAATTACTAGACTGTATATGAAAGGTGCATAATGTCTGCGATGAAGAAATGATTATAGATTCTGGATATAGTTGGAAATGTAAATGTGAGTTAAAATCTTAGGATAAAAATGAGAAAGTATAAAATTATATAAGGATAAAAAATCAGATCTTATTAGTTTTCAATTTAAAAAGAGAATGAGATAAGGGTTATGTCAATATAATATTTTATTTATTTTACATTTTTTTATTTGAAATATTTGTATTATCGACTAAACATAACCTTTCTCTTTTTTTCTTTACATTCTGTACAATAAACGTGAAAAACAATTTTAAGTTTTTTCTTTCCTTTCCTTTCTAAAATAAACAGGCCCTAAAGTTTATTGAAGTCAAATTATACATCTTAAAGAAATAAAGGAGAGTAAGGTTTTTTGGTCCACCAAGAAAAAGGACAAACATGTACGTAATTAATTTCTTTTCATATTAAAGATATCAGAATAAGATCTAACCTAAAATATGTAGGCGAAAGATGAAGCTTTTGAATTTGAATGTAGCTCACATATAATTTAGGAGAGTCATAAATAAATTATTGGCTGGTTGGTCCCCTTTTCTCTGGAAAGAAAAGAGGAAGAAGAGGAAGCTAGATTTGAAGCTTAATTTCAAAGGGTGAAAAAAGAAATAGTGATAATATCTAATATATTTAATGAAGAGGTTTGCCATTCTTGGATAGATGATTATAGGTAATTAAGTATTTATAAAGAATGATTCGATCTAATAAAGAACGGTCACTTGTTTCCTTTGTGTAATTAATAGCACAGAAGCACCATTCACAACTGTATTAGTGGCCACGCACTGCACAATATGTGATATTTTTGTTCACAAGAATCATGTCCAACTATTCTTGAGTCTTAGTGAAGAGAAATCTTTCGGTGCTTTTGTGGATGCTTGTCACATCTTTTCATATTGTTTCGTCTCCAGGGAAAATTCTAAAGAATTAGGTCAAATGTTCCTCTTCATATTGTCATATTCCCCTTACAAAACCACTATTTTCTTCAATAATAAATCACCCTTTCCCCTATTCTTTCCTTACTTTCTTTCCCTTCGATGCCTGCATCCAAAAGGCAACTCACCAATCTCATTATTTGCTATTACCATCTCCATGTTATTTACACAAAACAATGTATACACATATTACAAGATCATATAATTAACACCAACTTCATTTCAGAAAAAAAAAACACACACACACACACTGACTTCAATTTCACTTTGAATGAATACAAAGGCGAAAGGAAAATCTACAAGAACATGTATAAAGAAAAGAAAGCGTGGAGATAATATATTTGCTTTGATGGAAAAATCAAAAAGATTGAATAGCCTGGAAAATGACATGTAACTATTGTGAAATAATAAACAAGGAAATACAGAAATAAATATATAAAAATTTAGAAATTTTGCAATAATTATGATGTTGAAAATAAAGTCACATAAAAAAAACCCTGAAGATATACACCAAAAGTTAACTATTGATAAAACTAACTAGTGGTGTAACTTTTTTTGAGGAATTTAATAAGGGGGCTTAAATTTGTATATATGTTATTAATTAATAGGTATGTAATGGAGTTGAATTGTTAAGTTAGGTTAAAAAAGTGAATTAATTAGAGATTAGGGGTGATACATTGGGAGCATGGGTCCCATGATTGATATAATAATTTTTCTCTGGTCAGAAGTAGGCTAGGGACATTTGCTAGGCCATCTTAATTATCAACTACAGTTAGGAAAGCAACCAAGCATAGCAATATTCCCTCTTCCAACTTGTTATTTAAAACCTTCAATCCAGTCCTTATTGAAGCAAAGAAGCCAAGAAGCCAAGTGCATATAGACATTAATAATGTCCAACAGCATGAAAAAGTTGTCCAGTTATTTGCATTCCCTATCCCAAACTCCTCACAGGCTCAGAAAAAGAATGCTAGCAACATGGACCCCAGACCAGGAATTCAACCAGGTCAGGCACAGATCTGGAGCTGACATGAAGAGGAAGCTCAACTGGTATGATCTGGTTGCTCTTGGTGTTGGAGGAATGCTTGGTGTTGGTGTCTTTGTCACAACTGGCTCCGTTTCCCTTCACCACTCTGGTCCTTCAGTCTTCATTTCCTATATCATAGCAGGAATTTCAGCCCTTCTCTCCTCCTTGTGTTACACTGAATTTGCTGTTCAAGTCCCAGTTGCAGGAGGAGCTTTCAGTTATTTAAGATTAACCTTTGGTACAATACAATACAGCACCTTTTCTTCCCTTATGTATATCCTTACTATATATACAAATTTACCTATTAATTTTCTTTCATGTGTGTAGGGGAATTCTTTGGATATTTTGCTGGGGCAAATATACTAATGGAGTATGTCTTCTCAAACGCTGCCGTAGCAAGGAGCTTTACTGAATATTTGAGCATTGCGTTTGGAGAAAATGATCCAAATGTTTGGAGAGTGGAAGTCCATGGCTTGCCCAAGGATTATAACATGTTGGATTTTCCAGCTGTGGCTGTCATTCTTATTCTCACTCTCTTTCTGTGTCATAGGTTTGATTCATTTCTAATTTTTCTTTTCCTTGTTTCTTCTGCTTCAAACATGTTTGTTCTTGTTGTGATGCTATCTGCTTATTATCTGTTTAGTCGTCCATTTTTCAACGGATAAACATTTTAATAGGTTATCCTGTTATGTCACAACTAATTAACAAACTACTTTATTAATTACCTGTTTTACTTTTTGTAATCACAATGTTGAACCCGTTACTTTTAAACGTTCGTCCGGGTTCGGTGGATTTTGAAAATGCTTGTGTTATCCTTCTTTTTAATATTGTTATATTTTGGTTTATTACAGTACAAAGGAAAGCTCCGTATTGAACCTCATAATGACAGTCTTCCATGTGATTTTCTTTGGATTCATTATAATCGCTGGTTACTGCAATGGAAGTGCGAAAAACATGGTTAATCCAAAAGGTATAGCACCTTTTGGTGTTAGAGGTGTTCTTGACGGAGCAGCAATAGTCTACTTCAGCTATATAGGCTATGACTCCGCTTCAACCATGGCTGAGGAGGTCAAAGACCCTTTTAAGAGCCTACCCATTGGAATTGTGGGTTCAGTTCTGATAACCACTTTGCTCTATTGCTTAATGTCTCTGTCTTTGTGCATGATGGTTCCTTACAACAAGGTCAGTATATATATATATAGTATATCAAGTGTGATATATATATAGTGTCATATATGTATGAACCCTCTCAACTCCTTCTTTTCTAATAGGCTTAAATAAATGGACCTTATAACTTTAGTCATCATATATATTAATATAATATATGGTGTGTTAGTGATGAAAAGCTAATTCCTGGTGTAATATATATATATATATATATAGATATCCGAAAAAGCATCATTTTCAATAGCTTTTCTGAAAATTGGATGGAGTTGGGCGAGCAATCTGGTAGGGGCAGGTGCAAGTTTGGGCATTGTGGCTTCTCTCTTGGTAGCCATGCTTGGCCAAGCAAGATACCTTTGTGTTATTGGAAGGGCAAGGTTGGTGCCATCTTGGTTAGCCAAAGTACACCCTTCAACAGGCACACCATTGAATGCAACGATCTTTTTGGGTAAGCAAACTGTCTGTGTCTTAATTAATTAACAAAAAGAAAGAAGCTCTGGCCATTATATATACATATACATATATATATATTCTAGGTTCTTCGGCATTGGAATATTTGTCTTTTTTCTCTAGAAGGATCGTAGAAATTTCAACGTGAACTTTTCTTATAAATGTTATTGTACGGAAACTGGTAATCACTTTTTATTGTCATGCCTATAATGAGTAGTGTGATACAGTAAAATGACTCAGTATGCTGCAACAAAATATAGTTGTAGGTTTGGATTAATAACTATATCTTGGTTAAGGCATTTCTTTAATGAACAACCTTGTTTCAGTTTTGGTTTAAACAAATAACCTCATACTTAACCCGTTTTTATTACTTTGATGTTTTTTCACCGGTCTTTGCTGATAAAAATAATGATGATTTGGCGTCACCTAAATATGTCGGATATATTAATTCTGATGGGATAATTGACAAGTTAGTTTTTTCTTTTAATGTTGCTGCATTTATTTATTTTTAATTACTTAGAGATTTGTTTTTACCTTAATGAAAAAATCTGCGTTTAGCATCAAACTTTTTTGTGCATGCTTTTATATTTTAAAAAAATGATATCATGACCCATAAAAAAAAAGTAAGGTCAAATAAATGTAAAGTTTTAAAATGTTATTTTTCTATTTTTTTTATCTCCTACTCAACATGATCTCTCTCTTTCACAATGTATATAACATTATATATCTTAGTCTTTCTCCCTACAATGTTATAGAAAGGAAAGGCTTTTTATTCAGTTCTCGGTTACTTTATTCCACGGCAAAAATACACATATATATTTTGTTTGAAACTATGTCGTCACTAAAATGGTATGTTAATTTTTGTTAAAAAGTAACAGAAAAAATATTTAATGTAATTATGAGAAATCAAAATGAGTGAAGATAATTAATAGTAATTGGGTTACTTACCATTTTATTAAAGTCAGATTTAATCTATAGATAATTAATATAAATTACGAGCATATGAATATCAATTAATAGACACATTGCTGAAAGTTTAATGACATAATGTTTTATATTTCCTAAAATTTTATCTATAGATGTAAGAAAAGTCTTTTAAAAATGTTAAAATAACTTTAATCAATGTCAATTAATAAACTCACATCTCATTTTCTCAAATAAAATTCTGAATGTACTTCTAAAAATGTCATTTTGTCAAAAGGTAAAATACCGTACGTAGTTTTTTAAACTGTCAAAAGATTCCAAAACAGTACTTAAATTCTGATAAAAATAACTTGACAAAATTAAATTGTTTTGTAAAGCCAACGAGATAAAAAGAAAGAAAGACACTATTGAATTTGTTCATCAGTTCTAGGTTTCTGTTAGTCTCAACTTTCAAGTTAAACTAAACATAGATGAGTTTTTTTAGCTTTATTTGATGTATAACTATTTTAACAATGTTATTGTGAGTAAGCTCTATTTTCATTGTTTTATATTTTAATTAGGTTTGTTAGTGAATAGTGAAACGTTGATTCAACAACTGGGTAACTTCAATTAAAGGAAGCTTGGCTAGATCTTGACATACGAATATCAATATCATTCATGATAAGAAAAGGAGGAGAAAGTGAGATTAAATAACGAAAGAAACAAGAAAGATACCTGGAAGAAATATAAAGATGTTTATTTTTTTTGTTCTTGGTGTAGGAATTTGCACAGCATCCATTGCACTGTTCACGGAGCTTGACATTATAATTGAGTTGATAAGCATCGGCACGCTGTTGGTGTTCTACATGGTAGCCAATGCTCTTATATACCGTCGATATGTAATCACTGGCCATGCCCCACCTTCGCACACTCTTTTCTTCCTTTTTCTCCTATCTCTAAGTGCAATATGCTTCTCCATTGCGTGGAAATTCAAGCAGCAATGGTGGGGTCTTGTACTTTTTGGTGGGTTTATGATCGCCATCACTGCCTTCTATCAGCACGTGATGCTTAATACTACCATTGCCCAACATCCTCAACAACAACAACAACAGCAGCAGCATTGGTCCGTGCCATTCATGCCATGGCCACCCTCCATCTCCATCTTTCTTAACGTTTTCCTCATAACCACACTCAAAACCCTCTCTTTCCAACGCTTTGGCATATGGGCATGTTTCATCACCATCTTCTACGTGCTCTATGGCGTTCACAACACTTATGAGGCAGAGGAGATTGAGATGGGTGGTGTAGGTGTTGTTGGTGATGAAATGAATTCAAGTGTACACAACTTGCAAACTAAGGTGGAGATTCAAGTGTATTAGTTGAAGCAAAGAATGCAATTGGGCAGAATTAATAAGAAAAGAAATCAGTTGTTATTATTATGTACATTGTGGGAAAGAGACAGAAGGGATATTGTGAAGAATGCTGCATTGGTGATGCCGCTATTATATATGATAGAAAGAGGCAGCAAACTCTTGAAGCAACAATGATTCTTTAGTAGTGGGAAACATTGAATTGAGTTGAAGTCCAATCCGGGTGCAATCTGCAGTCTTTTGAATAGTACTGAAATAACTTGTATCGTTGTGTCATTTCGGTAGCACGTCAAAAGTGAATGGTGGGTCAAAAATCAGGTGAGAGTGGGTTTAGTTTAGCAATCTCTTCAGTATCTTTGGAAAAGATGGGTTGAATTCATGACCAAGCTATTCACCCTATCAGATCCCAGCTGGGGCATAAAAAGTGTATATATCACCCCTCTCTTCCTCATTTCAATTATTATTCTAGTATTGTTCTATCTACACTGACTCACTCGGTTTCAAAAAAATTTCCCACTTTTTTCTTCTCCTGATAATTTACAATACTATCTAGTATATATAGTACTGACAAATAACAAAGGAAAGCAATGAAATATTATAACAATGATGAAGTTGATGAGTTTTTGTTTCATATAATATTCTCTTTGTCTAACTAATGTAATACTCCAAATCACGCTTCACTCAAGCAAAGTAATGGATTTGTTATTAAGATTTATATCATATTGAATTTTTCAAGCACGTAGCATTGATAAAATCTTCACACTTACCTGACCTTAAAGTATTTGAGTTAGGAAGTTGTCAAGTCACCAAAAAATGTCAACACTTACCTCGGGTGAATTTTTACAGAAAGCAAATGAAAAGTTCTTTAGAACCAGTAAAATTCTGAAGTTTGAGCTTTACTTATATATATCAGTTAAATGCAATAAACCTTATTATATTTGCTGTTGTAAATAAAACGTTTTACGACAAACAGCTGTTGATCGGAACAGGGCAGGAACGCATGAGGAATGAAAAATTTCTTACTTTTTAACTGTAGAAAGAATCTTATATATTAAACTACCTGTGTAAAAAGCTATGTAAGCGTGTCAGAACCCCATATTCTGTAGAACTAAGGTCATTTTCAAACAAAAATACTAATTGTACGTAAAATTCAATTGGCCTCTAAAATGTTGGATTAGGAGAATGTTTCATTACGTAAGCAGATCATGCTGACTGGAATTTGGGTGGACATTCTTGTGCTTAATTTCTAACCTGAATCTATTATTGAACAAACTATCTTAGCTGATCCGGAAAAGAAAAGGAAAAGACAACAAATTTTAATAATTTTACCATTTAACAGGTTTTCCCTTTGGACCGTAAAGGTGGCACATCTATCTGGTGCGCACCACAGACGAAGATAGGTACATGAACATTTGAAGCTGCTAGAATCGCAGTTGTACGAAAACAGACTTGTCTTCGAGTGGAAACTGGTACGAATAAGTGAAAATTCTGAAAGCTTGGAGCTTTTCATTCTCATAACATCAACTACACATTTTCTTTTTAAATGTTAAACCCATAGGAANTAATTATGTACTGATTTATTTATTTATTATTTATAATTATGTCATTTGATTTATTACCATCTATACACATTAGTCTGATTTATTTGTTCATTTTATTTATCTCTAACTATACTATAGTTCTTTGTATTAATTTATATTTTTTTATGAAATTAAATTCATATCTAATTATTTATTTAAAGTTATTTTTTTAATCTTTATTTAATTTTATTTTAAAATATCATTTTTTAAATTAAAAAAATATATAAAATAATAAAATTAAGATTAAGTAATATGTTTTATCCAGTGAAAAAAGTTACCTAGAAGCTGTATTATTATTTTTTAAAACTATTTATACTAGTTTAAATAATGTAAAAATTATTCATAAAAAATATAATATATCTTGATAATCAACATTTTAACATTTTATGATCATTTAAAATGTACAAGTGCATCCTAAATAAAGACATTAGACCCACGAATGTGGATAACAATGTTGTAACCTTTTGATGCAATTGGTTGTTTTGTTTATTGGACTTTTGCAGTTTCAATTGAATAATATTATTTACATGTCTTAGTTCTTCCTTAGAAGGTTGTCGATTAAAACACATGAACATGATGTTTTTGAGAAAATAGATGCGTTTCCTTAAAAAAGACAAACACAAAAAAACATTAAGGATGCTAGCACCTACATGAAAACGATTTCAAACCATGATATGCGTACATGCACCTACATAATGGTGCTATGATCATGCTAATTAAATTATTAATAATGAGTGGTCATTATTGAGTTAAATTTTAAATACTTTATCTTCACTTATATTCGTAATTTTGTATATTGATGGTGATGTTTTTGTGGGAATTATATTTAGGTTGTTTATGTAATTATCATTGTTTAGTTTATTTTGTTTTTCAAAATAATTTTTACAATATTATAAATAAAGAAAATCAATGTCATCCGAATAAAAGAATGTTAAATTTTTTTATTTACTCATGTATCGGTTGCTGTATATTGTTTTATTAAAATAATATATGTGAAAAGTATTTACTCTTGTGATCTTATTTTTATTAAGTGATCTGATTAAGGTATTAAAAATCATGTTTATCAAAGTCTAGTAAAATAAATAAGTATGATGATAATGTTGAATGAGCCTTATGAAAAATAACAAAGTATTTTATAAAATAGAATCTATGCGACCCAAGTAATAATATGTGCAATGTCATTGTTACACCAAAGAAAGATACTTAATCTTGTTCCTATGTACTGTTTTTGTGAAATTAAGTAAGTGTTGAATGAGAGATACTTAATTTATAAAAAGTTCCGACATGTTATCTGCTATTTTCTCGGGACATAAAATTTTAAGAAGACCTTTTTTCCACCACAAGGTGGTGAGTGAATTATATATATAATGGACCACTTTCTTTGAGGAAGGTTTAAAAAAATAATGAGGTGCATTATATCAGCGAGGCTTTTGGTCATGCCGCCATTACATATATTCTGTTCTGTAATAGAAAAAAAGCACAAGATGACCTTGCTGACTTATGTAAATCAATAGATAAAATTTCTTTACTTTAACTGTTAACTGCTATAACGGATTCCAAATGATTGTTCTTTTGAAATTTCAAAACAAAAAAAAAAAATTGCTCCAATTTACTTCCATTGGGGTAAATGCACCGACTGCAACCCAAAGTAAAGATAAACATCAAGCTTTATACTGTAAATTATAATGTTATACATATTCATCTCAAAATTCGTTTATATAGGTATATACTCTAGACTCATAAAATTACTAGACTGTATATGAAAGGTGCATAATGTCTGCGATGAAGAAATGATTATAGATTCTGGATATAGTTGGAAATGTAAATGTGAGTTAAAATCTTAAGATAAAAATGAGAAAGTATAAAATTATATAAGGATAAAAAATCAGATCTTATTAGTTTTCAATTTAAAAAGAGAATGAGATAAGGGTTATGTCAATATAATATTTTATTTATTTTACATTTTTTTATTTGAAATATTTGTATTATCGACTAAACATAACCTTACTCTTTTTTTCTTTACATTCTGTACAATAAACGTGAAAAACAATTTTAAGTTTTTTCTTTCCTTTCCTTTCTAAAATAAACAGGCCCTAAAGTTTATTGAAGTCAAATTATACATCTTAAAGAAATAAAGGAGAGTAAGGTTTTTTGGTCCACCAAGAAAAAGGACAAACATGTACGTAATTAATTTCTTTTCATATTAAAGATATCAGAATAAGATCTAACCTAAAATATGTAGGCGAAAGATGAAGCTTTTGAATTTGAATGTAGCTCACATATAATTTAGGAGAGTCATAAATAAATTATTGGCTGGTTGGTCCCCTTTTCTCTGGAAAGAAAAGAGGAAGAAGAGGAAGCTAGATTTGAAGCTTAATTTCAAAGGGTGAAAAAAGAAATAGTGATAATATCTAATATATTTAATGAAGAGGTTTGCCATTCTTGGATAGATGATTATAGGTAATTAAGTATTTATAAAGAATGATTCGATCTAATAAAGAACGGTCACTTGTTTCCTTTGTGTAATTAATAGCACAGAAGCACCATTCACAACTGTATTAGTGGCCACGCACTGCACAATATGTGATATTTTTGTTCACAAGAATCATGTCCAACTATTCTTGAGTCTTAGTGAAGAGAAATCTTTCGGTGCTTTTGTGGATGCTTGTCACATCTTTTCATATTGTTTCGTCTCCAGGGAAAATTCTAAAGAATTAGGTCAAATGTTCCTCTTCATATTGTCATATTCCCCTTACAAAACCACTATTTTCTTCAATAATAAATCACCCTTTCCCCTATTCTTTCCTTACTTTCTTTCCCTTCGATGCCTGCATCCAAAAGGAAACTCACCAATCTCATTATTTGCTATTACCATCTCCATGTTATTTACACAAAACAATGTATACACATATTACAAGATCATATAATTAACACCAACTTCATTTCAGAAAAAAAAAACACACACACACACACTGACTTCAATTTCACTTTGAATGAATACAAAGGCGAAAGGAAAATCTACAAGAACATGAATAAAGAAAAGAAAGCGTGGAGATAATATATTTGCTTTGATGGAAAAATCAAAAAGATTGAATAGCCTGGAAAATGACATGTAACTATTGTGAAATAATAAACAAGGAAATACAGAAATAAATATATAAAAATTTAGAAATTTTGCAATAATTATGATGTTGAAAATAAAGTCACATAAAAAAAACCCTGAAGATATACACCAAAAGTTAACTATTGATAAAACTAACTAGTGGTGTAACTTTTTTTGAGGAATTTAATAAGGGGGCTTAAATTTGTATATATGTTATTAATTAATAGGTATGTAATGGAGTTGAATTGTTAAGTTAGGTTAAAAAAGTGAATTAATTAGAGATTAGGGGTGATACATTGGGAGCATGGGTCCCATGATTGATATAATAATTTTTCTCTGATCAGAAGTAGGCTAGGGACATTTGCTAGGCCATCTTAATTATCAACTACAGTTAGGAAAGCAACCAAGCATAGCAATATTCCCTCTTCCAACTTGTTATTTAAAACCTTCAATCCAGTCCTTATTGAAGCAAAGAAGCCAAGAAGCCAAGTGCATATAGACATTAATAATGTCCAACAGCATGAAAAAGTTGTCCAGTTATTTGCATTCCCTATCCCAAACTCCTCACAGGCTCAGAAAAAGAATGCTAGCAACATGGACCCCAGACCAGGAATTCAACCAGGTCAGGCACAGATCTGGAGCTGACATGAAGAGGAAGCTCAACTGGTATGATCTGGTTGCTCTTGGTGTTGGAGGAATGCTTGGTGTTGGTGTCTTTGTCACAACTGGCTCCGTTTCCCTTCACCACTCTGGTCCTTCAGTCTTCATTTCCTATATCATAGCAGGAATTTCAGCCCTTCTCTCCTCCTTGTGT